TAAAACAATGATAGTAAATAAATTAAATAAATAAATACATTAACGGGCCAATACCCTCTAAGACTGTGTTTCAAAAGGGAACTTAAAGGGCCAGTAACACATTAAGCACAAATAAAGGGGAACTCTAGTGATAATACAAAAATAATGCAGAAATTGTATATAAAAGCACACAATTTTCCATATATCATCTTTAAACAGTTGCCTATATGAAAATATACTTAAAAAAGCATAAAAATTTAAATTTAAAAATTTGTGAGAAAACAGTTCAAATCTATATCGACATTTAACCCGAATGGTTGCAATTAATTTAGTTCATAAATCCAAAACGTCTCTTTTTTGGAAATCTCATTAACCAAATCCGAGCCCCTCCAATGGGTTTTACCATCTCAATCCCATAAAAGGTAAGTAAGCTCGGATCACAATTATGTACCAATTTAAAATGTTTGGATACACTATGTTTATCAAATCCTTTTACTATGTTTCTTATATGTTCGCCTATTTCTTGTTTTTAAACATCTCCCAGTTCTCCCAATATATCTCAAATGACATGGACATTCTAAAACATAAATCACATGTGTAGAATTACATGTAATCAGGGATTTAATATCATATTCATATTTTGTCAAAAAATCCCACTAAGAAACTTAAATTACTACTTAAGAGTATTATTAATAAAGGAAAAGAGTTGGGGGTATTAACTGAAAAAGAAGCAAAATATTTACTGATTAAACATCCGAGAATACCTACTATATACTATTTACCAAAAATACACAAAAATAAGGAGAACCCACCGGGGGAGACCCATTGTGAGTGGGATAAATTCTTTATTTGCAAGAGTTGGTGAATATGTTGATACTTTTCTGAAAAATATTGTTATGACAAATAGGGCTTTTCTGAGAGATGGTGGACATCTTATTAATATTCTTAAAGAATTACATAATGTTGATAATTGCATATTGGTTACTATAGATGTAGAATCTTTATATACTAACATTGATCAAAATGATGGAATTAATGCGGTAAAATGGGCCCTTAAACATAAATCACTCTCCTGAAAAGATCGCAGAGGAAATTCGTTGTTGAATTACTTGAATTTGCGATGAATAATAATTTCTTTTTGGTATAACAACACTTTTTTTTTTTTCAGCAATGCAAAGGTGTTGCTATGGGAGCTAAGTATGCTCCCAGTGTTGCAAATCTGGTAATGGATAAATGGGAAGAAGAAAGTATTTTCAATAAATGGCCAGAGATGGCGCTATACAAGAGGTATATTGATGACATTATAATGGTATGGGATGGATCCAGAGAAAAACTCGATTCTTTTTATGGAATATATTAACATGAACCGCTATGGATTGAGATTCACTGTTATTAGTGATTTTGAGCAAATTAATTTTTTGGATCTGGTCCTATATAAAGATAATGGTCAAATTTGTACCAAAACTTACTTCAAGGAAGTGGACAAAAACAGCTATATACCTATTTCTAGTGGACATCATCCAAATTGGTTATATAGCACTCCAAAAAGTCAGTTTACCAGATTAAAAAGAAATTGTAGCGCTAACAAAGATTTTTTCGATCAATCTGAGGTGTTAATTAAAAAAGATTTCTAGAGAAAGGGTATGATAAGACCTTTTTGATTAAAGAGAGAAATTCGATTGGTATTAAAGATAGGGAGACATTTCTTGGAAATAAAAAGGCTCATGTGGGATTTGAAAATAATGTACCCTTTATTACTAACTATAATATGCAATATAAAAATATTGAACGAATTTTTAAAAAATATTGGCCCATTTTGCTAAAAGATGATATACTAAATAAATTCTTATCTAAAACTCCTAAATTCATTTATAAGAAAAATAAGTCTCTTAGGATGAAATTGGCTCGCAATGTCATCGAACCCAACAAAAAGTTCGATCTGTTTCCAAATTTTAAATGGTTTTTTTTCCTTGTAGGAAGTGTAAAGTATGTAGGACTGTAAAAGTCGGTAGTAATAAAAAAAGAAAGTCATTCTGCTCTTCATTTTCCAAAAAAGAATATGATATTAAATCCCTGATTACATGTAATTCTACACATGTGATTTATGTTTTAGAATGTCCATGTCATTTGAGATATATTGGGAGAACTGGGAGATGTTTAAAAACAAGAATAGGCGAACATATAAGAAACATAGTAAAAGGATTTTGATAAACATAGTGTATCCAAACATTTTAAATTGGTACATAATTGTGATCCGAGCTTACTTACCTTTTATGGGATTGAGATGGTAAAAACCCCATTGGAGGGGCTCGGATTTGGTTAATGAGATTTCCAAAAAAGAGACGTTTTGGATTTATGAACTAAATTCCTTTGCAACCATTCGGGTTAAATGTCGATATAGATTTGAACTGTTTTCTCACAAATTTTTAAATTTTAATTTTTATGCTTTTTAAGTATATTTTTTCATATAGGCAACTGTTTAAAGATGATATATGGAAAATTGTGTGCTTTTTATACAATTTCTGCATTATTTTTGTATTATCACTAGAGTTCCCCTTTATTTGTGCTTAATGTGTTACTGGCCCTTTAAGTTCCCTTTTTGAAACACAGTCTTAGAGGGTATTGGCCCGTTAATGTATTTATTTATTTAATTTATTTACTATCATTGTTTTATTTAAATTTCTTTTTATTTTTGTTCCCTTGTTTTAAAGTTTTTTGCTTGTGATGGCAAATATATTGGATATATTGTATACTTTTTGTGGACTTCTGTCATCCTTGGGGCGGCTTGCTTTGCTTGATTCCCCATTGATGTCAGCTGTTCGTTTCCTGTGAGTGTATATTTAATGAGGGTGAGACGTCTCACATCTATCCGCTCCGTGAGGACGTCGATGACAAAACGCGTAGGGCGGAGCTTGATTGATGTGATGTCATTACGTTTTTTGACTGCCAGCTATTGCACATGTGCTGAGAGTAGTCAGGCTCGTTTATGTGATTGCTGTTGATGCTGTTGATGCTGGTGTCGGCTGGGACACCTCTTGAGTAAGTGCAATGAGTATCTAATAAAGGAATTGGTTTTTATAATATTGCACCATGAAGTCTTTCTGTTTCTCTCGAGTGCTTGGCATTTCCCCCCATGGATACGTTTGAAGGTGGTCCTTTTTCTATATTGGAGAAGTGGATTTTCGATTAACTACAAAGTTTTTCGTCCTGTTATTTCGATCGATGAGGATCGGTGTGTTGGAGAGCTTCCGTTTCTGAAGATATTTTTATGGATGATCTGCCATTATATTATCAAGGTTTTTTGGTGAAATTTTTTTTTATATTGAGACACTTTTTTTATATTGAGACACTCCTTTTGCACAAAAGTTTTTTTGCACCTAAAAAGTTTTTTATATTTTTTCTGTGGTATTGGTATATATATATTTTTCTGGACTTATGATTTGATGATTTCTTTACATATATTTATATATATTTACTAGCGCAAATTATTTATTAAGAATCATTACATGCCTATATAACAGTTATCCTTAAAGAACGGAAGGATAGTTCACAATGCACTAGTTATAGACCTATATCATTATTAAATATTAATATAAAATTATTTGCAAAAGTGTTAGCCACCAGGATGAAAGAGCTGATGTCAGAGTGGATACATCTAGATCAAGTGGGATTTATTCCAGGGAGGGAAGGGAGAGACAATGGTCTAAGAACATCCCCTAGCCCCTCCTACAAAAAGCAAAAAGAGTAAAGCAGCCGACAATTATACTGTTGATTGATGCAGAAAAAGCCTTTCGATAAGGTGGATTGGGGATTTATGATAAATACGCTAGAGAATATTAGGAATAGGGACCAGAATGGTAAGGTGGATAAAAGGGCTTTATAGCGGCCCCTCTGCAGCAGTCAAGGTGAATGAGTCCCTGTCAGGGACCTTTAAAATGTATAACGATACTAGGCAGGGGTGTCCATTATCCCCGTTGCTATTTGTTCTATCCCTGGAACCACTTTTGGCATTGGTAAGAAAGAACAAGGATATTAAAAGAATTAAGATAGGAGAAGTAGAACATAAGGTGGCAGCGTGTGCAGATGATATGCTGTTCAACATTGTTAATCCTAGATTTGATGTTGCCTAACTTAATGGGAATATTAAAAACGATACGGGCAGCTGTCAGATCTAAAAATAAACCTTTCAAAATCTGAGATCTTAAATATTAATGTTTCAATGGTAGAAATGCAGATTTTCAAATAGATTTTCCATTTACATGGAGGGAGAGGGAATTAAGCTACCTGGGAATACAAGTAACCCCCTCAATAAAGAATTTATATCAAGTTAACTATATACCATTAATAAATGAAATTAAAGATGAGTTGAGAAGACTCTTAAAAGGGCAGGTCTCGTGGATTGGACGGATTAATCTGGTTAAGATGGTGATAGTCCCAAAAATCTTGTATAAATTTAAAATACTCCCAATATATTTACCAAGATCTGTTTTTTAGGATAATAAGAAAATTGTTACTGAGGGTTTATATGGGCTAAATAAGAAACCAAGAATTAAGCATGAGGTTTTATGTAACAACAAAGAGAAAGAAGGATTAAATCTGCCAAATATGAGGAAGTATTTTATGTTGGTGTTAATATCACGGGTGGTAGATTGGACACACAACTCACATGAGAAAAGTTGGGTTAAAATGAAAGGTATTTTAAGTAATGAACAATTAGAGAGGATTATCTGAATTCCACAAAGGTTTCGAGATTTAGATGAAAATAGTAGTACACTGACACGGGAGGTGTTGAGAATATGGGATGGGCTGCATAACTCAGTGGGCTGGAAGCACACTTCATTGTTGATGCCCCTTGTGGATACGGATTTTTTTTCCACCAGGGAATGATAATATTTCTGGGAAATGGTTTAAAAATAGAAATGCACGGTTAAGGGATATAGCAGATAAGGGGGAGTAAAAAAGACTTATTTTATACATTAGATTACCGTATTTTTCGCTCATAAGACGCACCTAGGTTTTAAAGAAAAACAGGAAAAAAAAATTCTGACTTGGACTGCAGACATAGTACAGGATTGACCGTAGACTGCAGACACATACAGAGATGACCATAAGACTGCGGACAGCACAGGATGACCAGAGACTGCGGACAGTACAGGAGATGACCAAAACAGCGGAAGTACAGGGGATACAAAGACTGCGGACACAAGTACAGGAGGAGTCTGCGGACATAGTACAGGAGATGACCAGAGACTGCGGACACAGTACAGGAGATGACCAGAGACTGCGGACATAGTACAGGAGATGACCAGAGACTGCGGACACAGTACAGGAAATGACCAGAGACTGCGGACACAGTACAGGAATGACCAGAGACTGCGGACACAGTACAGGAGACTGGCCAGAGTCTGCGGACACAGTACAGGAGATGACCAGAGACTGCGGACACAGTACAGGAGATGACCAGAGACTGCGGACACAGTACAGGAGATGGCCAGAGTCTGCGGACACAGTACAGGAGATGACCAGAGACTGCGGACACAGTACAGGGAATGACCAGGACGCCATTATCTGGACAGGGGTAATTTATCGGGGAGGGAGGAATAAAGGGGGGTGGAAATAGGGGTAAAGAAGGTATTTGGATTGTAGGTGTTTTGATAAATTATAATATTGTTGATCTATGTATTGAAATAAAATTTAATAAAAGACATTAATAACAAAAAAATTTAATTAATAGCAAAAAAGTCAAAAATATTGTTTGTTTTTTTTTCAAAATTGTCGGTCATTTTGTTTTTATAGTGCAAATAATTATAAACGCACAGGCGATCAAATACCATCTAAATAAAGCTCAATTCGTGGGGAAAAAAAAAGAAGGCACATTTCATTTGGCAATTGTCAGTTAAATTAATGCAGCACCATAAAGCAAAAAAAAAATGGCCTGGTCAAGAAAGGGGGTAAATCCTCTGGAGGGTGAGGGGTTAAACATGTCTTTGCTATAAAAAATCCCAATACGCATAAATTAATTGGTTTACGTGAAAGTTATAGCATTTACAAATGGCAGTATAGATAATGGAAAAAAATGTTGTTTTTCACTAGTAATGGCGGCGATCAGCGACTTATAGCGGGACTGCGGCAGGCATTCTGACATTGGGGGGAACTGACTTGGTGTCACTGACATCCCAAGTGACACCAATACAGTTATCAGTGCTAATAAAAAGCACTGACACTGTACTAATGGCACTGGGCAGGAAGGGGTTAACATGTGGGCGATCAAAGGGTTAACTGTGTGCTGTGTGTGTGTTATACTGTAAGCACACTGCTTTGTATGGTGTGCTATGCAGAGCCATACAAAGCAGTGTGCAGGAGCTGACAAGGGACAGATCTGTGTTGTTTATACAAAGGTCTCTCACCCCCGTCGGGCCTAATGTGAATACCGCTCAGTACAGCGTTCAGGCCCTTCCAGTGACAGGCTGCTATGCCTGTCCCTTGACACAGAGCTATAAGTGCCATCTACAATACATTACAATCAGGACATAGTAACATGGACTCCTATAAGAAAATGAGTGCCTGTAGAAATGCATTTCCATCTTACCAACCAATCAGGCTCTGCCTTTCACATTGTTAAGGAAAATTAGAAGCTGTACTTGAGGCTCTGATTGGTTGCTAAGAGGGAAGCACAAGCTGCTCTGCAGTCTGACCTGAGAACTAATAATTGGTAATCGTGATGCCATAGTACAAAAATTCCTCGGTGTGTAGAGCTTGTGCTATTGACAGGTGTTTTCGCATTGAAGTCTATGGGATGCGTTTTCACATTAAAGTCTATGGGAGGCGTTTTCCCATTGAAGTCTATGGGGGGTGCGACTTCCCATTGAAGTCTATGGGGTGCAACTTCCCATTGAAGTCTATGGGGTGCGACTTGCATTGAAGTCTATGGGGTTCCCATTGAAGTCTATGGGGTGCGACTTCTCATTGAAGTCAATGAGGTGCGACTTCCCATTGCAGTCTATGGGGCACAACTTCCCACTGCAGTCTATGGGGCGCGACTTCCCAATGAAGTCTGTGAGGCGCGTCTTCCCATTGAAGTCTATGGGGCGGGACTTCCCATTGAAGTCAATGGGGTGCGATTTTCCATTAAAGTCTAAAGGGCGTGACTTCCCATTGAAGTCAATGGGGTGCAACTTCCCATTGAAGTCTATGGGGCGCAACTTCCCATTGAAGTCTATGGTGAGCGATTTCCCATTGAAGTCTATGGGGCCCGTTTCCCATTGAAGTCAATGGGAGGCAGTGTGTGAATCCAGGCACCAGGATGCAATTTCTAGTCGCCATGATGACCTGTCGAATGGGGTTTTGTCGAGCCGTGGTATAGCGGATCAGATGACAGTTGGGTGTAAACAGGCCGGTGGTGTCGTTACATCTGACCGCTCATAGAGGAGAGCGGCTGTGTCTGTCCGCTCTGTATTAGTGTAGTGGACACAGACTAGCCATCCGCCTGCACAGTGAGGATCAGCGGACAGATTTCCCGCTAAGCTGCCAGAGTCGGCCCGTGTAAAAGGGGTTTTCTGTCCTCAGTAGAACCTGTCACAGGAACAGCCTCCAATTTTTTTTCTCCTGATTTAGTTTGATTGAATCCCTTGCAGATACCTATGAATTCCTAATCTCAAGTTTATGATTGATAAATATAGGAGACAGATATGTAGACACGGGATTTTAACCACTTCCCATCCGGCCCATGTATATAAACGGCCGGACGGGAGCAGTGCAGGGTCAGGTGGCCGTTTATAAACGCCCACCCCACTCCCTGCTTATGTGCGCTCCCTGGTAGCGCGCAGCACTGTGATCTGGTGCCCGCTGTGTCCGGAGGAACACTGATCATTGTACGGGACCTCTGTGTGAGGTCCCGATCATGTGATCACTGATTGGCCAATCAGTGATCACATGAAGAGAAGTAAGCAAGATGTCACCTCTGACATGATTGCTTACTACGTGTGAAATCTGTGAATGATCACAGAGGTCACATGGTACAAGGCTATTCACAACAGCCTTGTACCATGTGACAAGCTGTGACCAATCACAGCTCACACAGTATTTCTCAATGGCTGCAAGAATGCAGCCAGAGAGAAGGAGAAATGATTACTTTTACAGCCTTTATAGGTGTAAAAGCAATCAGTGTGAAAAAAAAAATATTCTTCACCCCCCACAAGTAGTAAAGTGTCACTATGGTGACACTGTACTGCTAGGGTAACAGTATGTAAAAAATAGTATGTACTAATAATATATAAAAATAAATAAAAATGTAAACAAATTTTAGAAAAATTATAATTTTTAGTTATAAACTTATTTGTGTTATTTATTTTTACTAAAAAGTTAGCTGAATATATTTTGGCCAAGATTTATGAAGAAAGAGTATTTATTTGCAAAATTTTATAAGAAAAACACTTGTTTTCTAGATTTTTGAACCTTAATATAGCAAAAAAAAAATCCCAGTGGTGAATAAATACCACCAAAATAAAGTTTTATCTGTCTCAAAAAAATGCTAAAAAATTCATATGGGTACAGTGTTGCACGACCCGCGCAATTGTCATTCAAAGTGTGATAGCACTGAAAGCTGAAAATTGGCCTGGACAGGAAGGGGGTGAAAGTGTCCGGACAGGAAGTGGATAAAGAAAGCATCACTAATTGTCTGACATGAATTGAAATTTGGTCAGTCCCTGCCGAACCAGCCGAATTTTGATCCATGTATGGCCGGCTTTAGTCTTTTAGTTGGCTGGAGATTGTATAGGGCAGACAAATGGCTAGACCAACCTGCTCAGCTACTGCCCCCTACAGGACCAAGAAGGGACTGGAATGGGGGGGGACACGGGGAATTTGCCAACACCGGGCCAGTACTAATAAAATATATGTTGGGCTAGGGGCCCTGAGTGGAGATGCATCACCATTTATACATTGAATAGAAGGGAACCCACAATCAGTGATACACAGGGGCGGACTGACCATTTTGAAACTCTGGCACTGCCCGAAGGCCCGGGGTCAGTAGGGGGCCCCATGGGATGCCCCTGGTACCTTTTTCATAGGCTTTTTTGAGTTTTGGCAAGGTCACAGGGGCCCCATGATCCCCTATTGCCCGGAGGCCCCATGAGTTGTCAGACCGCCCCTGGTTCCATAACATGATTCTTCAAGTATCTCAGACTTTCCTTCTTCCATCTCCCATGTGTCATAATTAGTCAGAAAATGTGTCATAAACCTTCTCCTCCAGCAGAAGACATCACAGCAGTGGACCGGGAGGTGTGGGAGGGTTCCTATCAGGTGCCCCCAATGTTATAGAGCTGGCTATGGGGGCGGTAGCACAGTCTCCGATGAGATGACTGACATGCCCATTCTTCCTGAATGACGACTACGCGCCATATGGAACAGCCGTGAAATGCAGCTCCATTAATATTCTCATGTTTTTGTCTGTGGATATTACCCCCCCCCCCCTTACACACACAAACACACTGCTGTCAGTATCGACTGAGCATCCTCATCAAATCTCCAGAATACGGTGAAAAAAAAAATACTTTCTGGGATTTAAAGCACAATTCCGGGAAACTAAAAAAAATCATCCCTTGCAATGGGGCTTTGCCTGCACTGCAAGGGTTAATTGCTTGAAAAAAAAGAAAAAAAAAAAAAGAATATTTACTTCCCCGATCCTCCATTCCTCCCTGCACCTAGATCGGTCCCTGCAACTTCTCTCCTACACTCCATTGGTCTAGGTCAGGGGTAGGCAACCTGTGGCTCTCTAGCAGTTGTGGAACTACATTTCCCATGAGGCATTGCAAAAATTACAAAACTGACAGTTACAACTATGACTTGCAGAGGCATGATGGAATTTGTAGTCCTGCGGCTCTCAGGTTGCCTACTCCTGGTCTAGGGACTTGACATCATCAAGACCACAGCGGGGACCATAGCCCTGCACTGGATGTGATGATGACAAGAGACAGTCTGCCACCATAGCATGGGGCACCGGCATCTGCTGGGGGATTGGAGGCTCAGGTAACTAAAACTGTTTTCTCCTCTCCCCTAGAAAAAAACTAGCTATTAACCCTTACATTTCCTCAGAGTTAGGCTTTAAAGAAGGATTTTATTATAAACCATAGTCTGTATAAACCAGGGGTCTCCAAACTTTCAGTTAGTGGGAGGAATAGTGCCCCATCATTGGTGTCAGTGGGAGGAATAGTGCCCCATCATTGGTGTCAGTGGGAGGAATAGTGCCCCATCATTGGTGTCAGTGGGAGGAATAGTGCCCCATCATTGGTGTCAGTAGGGAGGAATAGTGCCCCATCATTGGTGTCAGTGGAGGAATAGTGTCCCATCATTGGTATCAGTGGGAGGAATAGTGCCCCATCATTGGTGTCAGTGGGAGGAATAATGTCCCATCATTGGTATCAGTGGGAGGAATAGTGTGCCATCATTGGTGTCAGTGGGAGGAATAGTGCCCCATCATTGGTGTCAGTGGGAGGACTTAGTGTCCCATCATTGGTGTCAGTGGGAGGAATAGTGCCCCATCATTGGTATCAGTGGGAGGAATAGTGCCCCATCATTGGTGTCAGTGGAGGAATAGTGCCCCATCATTGGTATCAGTGGGAGGAATAGTGCCCCATCATTGGTGTCAGTGGGAGGAATAGTGACCCCATCATTGGTGTCAGTGGGAGGAATAGTGACCCATCATTGGTGTCAGTGGGAGGAATAGTGCCCCATCATTGGTGTCAGTGGGGAGGACTAGTGCCCCATCATTGGTGTCAGTGGGAGGAATAGTGCCCCATCATTGGTGTCAGTGGGAGGAATAGTGCCCCATCATTGGTGTCAGTGGGAGGAATAGTGTCCCATCATTGGTGTCAGTGGGAGGACTAGTGCCCCATCATTGGTGTCAGTGGGAGGACTAGTGCACCATCATTGGTGTTAGTGGGAGGAATAGTGCCCCATCATTGGGTGTCAGTGGGAGGAATAGTGCCCCATCATTTGTGAAAGTTGTAGGAATAGTGCTCCATCATTGGTGTCAGTGGGAGGAATAGTGCCCCATCATTAGTGTCAGTGGGAAGAATAATGTCCCATCATTGGTATCAGTGGAAGGAATAGTGCCCCCCCATCATTGGTATCAGTGGGAGGAATAGTGCCCCATCATTGGTGTCAGTGGGAGGAATAGTGCCCCATTATTTGGTGTCAGTGGGAGGAATAGTGCTGCATCATTGGTGTCAGCATGGGAGGAATAGTGCCCATCATTGGTGTCAGTGGAAAGAAGAGTGCATCCATCATTAGTATTAGTGGGATGAATAGTGCCCTATAATTGGTGTCGCGTGGGAGGAAATAGTGCCCCATTATTGGTGTCAGTGGGAGGAATAGTGCTCCATCATTAGTATCAGTGGGAGAAAAAGTGTCCCATCATTGGTTGGTCAGTCTGGCAGGAATAGTGCCCCATAATTGGTGTCAGTGGGGAGGAATAGTGCCCCATTATTGTGTCAGTGGGAGGAATAGTGCTCCATCATTAGTATCATGTGGAGGAATTAGTGCTCCATCATTGGTGTCAGTGGGAGAAATAATGCCCCATCATTGGTGTGTCAGTGGGATGGAATAGTGCCTCCATCACTAGTTTGGTCAGTGGGAGGAATAGTGCCCCATTATTGGTGGTCAGTGGGAGAACAGCTACCTACAACATTAGTATCAGTGGGAGGAATAGAGCCCCCATGCAATTGTGGCAGTGGGAGGAATACTGACCACATCATTGTGTGTCAGCTCGGAGGAATAATGGCCCCATTATTGGTGTCAGTGGGAGGAATATGCCCCATTATTGGTGTCAGTGGTGAGGAATAGTGCCCCATTAGTGGTGTCAGTGGAGGAGTAATAGTGGACTCCCATTATTGTGTCTGTGGAGGAATAGTGCCCCCATATTATTGGTGTCAGTGGGAAGGAATGAGAACACATGATACCTGAAGGTTTCTATCCAGAACACAGACTCTAGTGTTCTACATCTAGGTTTCCCCTTTCACAATCTAGGCCAAGTGACATTACACATTGAACATCGGCTGCTTGCAAGTTTAAGGTTTTATGTGATAACTCCGATTCTTGGTGTTTCAAGGCAGCGAACAGCAGAAGACAATTCCTATGTATACTTTTCCATCATCCAATCACTTCCTGGATCTGACAATTTGAAGTTGCTTCCTTTAGGCCAGTGCCCTCAAAAAAACTGCAGTCCGAGGGCCTAATAAAATAGTGACCCTTTGTTAGCCTTGTATTCTGGCCCTTAATGGGCACTATTCCTCTGGACACCAACATTGGGGAGCATAATTTCCTTGCACCTGACACCAATGATGTCGGCATTATTCATCCTACTCATACCAACGATGGGGCACATGCTCCTCCTACCTACTTCTGACCACCAACGCCCTAGGCCATGGTTTATTTTCACCAATGCTGGGCCCAAGGACATTTTCTACCACTACTGGCTACATACTCTGTCCGTCCCAAAAGGTCTGAAGGACAGTAAAGTAGCCCTTTGTGTGAAAAGTTTAGGAGCCCGCCTGCTCAGGGCGGACTGACAACTCATGGTCCGCCCCCCGGCAATACAGGGATCATGGGGTCCCTGTGTCCTTGCCCAAACTCAAAAAAGCCAATGAAAAAAGGTTACCAGGGGGCATCTCATGCCGCATAAATCGGCCCCCTATCCCTGACTGACCAGCTAGGTATGGGCCCTCGGGCAGTGCCTCGAAGTTTTTCAAATGGGTTCAGTCCGCCCTAGATTCCACACACATGTAACATGTCTGGCTTATTTCTAAGGCCTACTATGTTACCAAAATTAAACTCAGCTGTGTTGTTGGGGGCCTGCCACCTAACTGCTACATGAAACCTAACCTCCAAGCAGGGGGCTGACTGGACCATTTGGAAATTCGAGGGCACTGCCCTGAGGGCCCTGGGTCAGTTAGGGGGACCCCATGAGGATGCCCCTGGTACCTTTTTCATAGGCTTTTTTGAGTTTGGGGCATCGACACAGGGGACCCCATGAAATCCCCTATTGCCCCGGGGGCCCATGAGTTGTCAGGTCCACCCTCTGCCTTCAAGTGCTGTCCATAGTAACATGTAAAAAGATATCGTGTGCATCATAGGACTTAAATAGATGTTAGACACAACACTTTGAAGCTGAAATCTACCATTTGTCATTTTGCAAGAACCATGTACAAGGTCAAAAGGTATTACTGCTCAGGCAAAACGATCCAAATCAATCCATGGCAGGTAGCAGACTCTGGGCTCGCCACCACAACGTGATGCAATAGGAAGAAAGGGTTAGCCGCAGCCTTACACCCTACTTGGCGCTCCGGAAAGATTGATGAAGTTGAACCAAAATATTTATTGATCCCATGGGAACAGAACTGCTGTTAGAAAACACACAGGGCCCCCCATACCCCAAGGGTCCCCAAACTTGACAGCGTCCCCCCACCCTAAAAAAATAGGGCATTAGTTTATGAATGTAACACAGTGAAGTGAGCAGTACCGAATCCCTATATTGTGTTCCGTCAGGAAAGGAAGGGGCTAAATGTGACACTATTTTACCAGACCCCTTCCTCTTCTGCAGGGGTATGCAGGTGGGTGCGGCACGAGGGGGGCTTTGGCGAGGCAGGGGGAAGATGTATGGTGCATGTACGTATATTGTGTGTAATATATATAATATGTATTGAAGACATTGAAACCAAGTACAGTTCCATTTCTTGGGACAGGCCAGTGTGACTAAGACCACTTTACAACACCAATAGGACTCCTTAACTATGTTAAGTGTATAGCAGAGGCAATTACCTCACTTCAGTTCTGTGTTGGGTTAACCTGTTTTTTGGGTAAATATATAGGAAGATTTAGGGAAGTTTTATGGATGCAGGTAGTTTGAAAAGAGATTGGAAAAGTCTTAAATATTCATGATGTGCTTGTTAATGTGAAGGAAGCAGATTTGCCATAAACATAGAGCAAGTAGTATCTGATTATAACTTTTTTAATTCAAAACTATGCATACAGCTATTCTAGGTTCGAGACACCTATGATCAAACATGTCTACTAAAAAAGTGAGCCAATCAGAGTGCTTGCCATTGTACTGTATGGGCAAAAATTGGTGTATTATTAACACAGGACACAGAACACAGTTACCTGGTACAGATCCAAAGAGCATTATAATCTCACTGCGCTGAAAAGACTCAGGCTGAATCTGCTGTAATACTGACACTCAGTGCTGATATCTCCTTGCCATGGAACTCTGCATACTGAACGCTCTATCTGCGTCTAACCCATCTCTGAGAAGAAGGAGCACCCGTCGAAACGCGTTAGCCCTGCACCCCCCCCCCCTTTTCGATTACCTGTAACCCTGTTTGATTATGGGGTACTTATGCCTGTTATACCATCACGTTGTGAGTATTTTTCCTTAACCTCCTCGGGATGATTATTTTAATTTTTGGGCTGGAAAGTCGGTTTCCAAAATTTTGCATGGAAAAATTTGTTTTTTTATTTTAAAGGGTGGGAATTTTTAGAATAACCACTGAAATCTTCCGAAAAAGAGTTTTATAAACTTTCCCCGGGTTTGATAAAATTTGAAAAAACAAATCCAAAAATTTTAATTTAATTTAAAAAATCATAAAAAATAATAATATAATAATAAAACATTTTTTTCAATAATAAATCAAACCCAAAAAAACGGGAAAAGTAAAAATAGCGCCAAAATTCGCACTCCGTTTACAAAGTCGCAAATCTTTTCCCGTGTCCCCGATAAGGGAAATTTTCCCCCACGAAACAATTTTTCCCCTTTAATCTGGGAAGTGGGTTTTTGATTTACTAAACGCTTTTTCTCTAGCCGTTTTTAAAAAAACCCCCCTTTTTTACCAAAAGGGACGCTTTTTTTGGGCCCATGGGCTTTTCTTAAGGGTTTTTGGCAAAAAAGAACAGACAAAATTCAGGGAGGGCGCCGGACAAAGCACTTTCCCCCCCCAAAAAAGTATGTGAAATGGGTTTAAACAGTAATGTTTTGCTAGTAAAATTTGGGTTTGGGGAAAAAAACAATTTTTTAAATTTTCAATTTCCCCGCCCCCGGGCCGGGGCCGGGACGCCCGACGGGCCAGGGGCCGGGGAAAACCCGAAGCCGGGTTCCGGCCCTCGGCCCTAGGGAAAGGGCCCGGGGGGGCTGCGGGGGGACATCGGGGGGAGCGAAGGACAAGGTAAGTGCTGGAGGACTCCCCATCACCCGCATGGGAACCCCCCGTGTAAACTTTTTGGGTTTTCCGCTTTTGGGACAGAAAAATACCCCGGCTACAAATCGGGAATACCCCAAAAGGGGGTTTAATTTAAAAAAATCACTATTATTTAGGTAATGCGGGAAGGTTTGTCGCTCTTTTTTCATCTTCTTTTTAAACCCGGTTTTCAGGGTACCTGGGGAAAAGGCACAGGGGACGGGCCCCAGGAAGGTCCTCTAAAAAGATTGCCCTTTTCATCTTTCTTTTCTGTACCTCCGCTGGAAAAGGGGTTTCCTTTCCTTTATTGAAATGGGGCACAGGGAAGAACATAAAATCAATTATTGCATGCATGGAAGCTATCGGGTTCCCTATTTTAGATCGGGGAAAATATGCTGGAGGTGTAAACCCCTCTATCTTTTTATAAGAAGTATCTTGGGAAAGGGACTTTGAGGGTTGTTGGTTTGTTTCAATATTTACAATATTCACTGGGTTTTTTGTCACGTAACAAATAACTTTATCCGAATAAATGGATCCTCTCCCGAAAGGACTAAAGGTTTTCTGCCAAAAAATAAATAATACACCCTGGGGCC